CTTAAGTCTCTATTCAAGTTTTCCTGCCAGCAAAGGTGGGTGATAATAGGGAAGTGAGCCAGGTTTATCTCTGAAATTTGGAAGAGGTGGGCAGCAGCACATAATTCGGTACAACTCAAATCCAAATTTAAAAGAACACAAGGCACCCTCTACTTTTCTCTCTCTGGAGTAAGAAAATGTCCCAAATTCTGAAGCCTTTGCCAACCATCTTTGCAGCTGGCAAAGAAGGCTTGAAGGTGAAGTGGGAGTTGGAGAAACGCAAGGTACTGGAATATTCTTTTTGATTCCTTCTGCAACTTTTTGTCTGTGTATTTGATAGCAGGAAGTGGGAGCAGGATTATGGCAAAGATGAGAAAATAGAAGCATTTCAGTGATGCACTAGGTCAGGTACTGCAATGTGTCAAGGCCAAGGGTCTGAGCTCTGAGATGCCCCAACTGGCATGCTGCTTGCAGGCCTGAGGCCCCTTGCAGAAGTCATCTCAGAGATGTGGAATCTATATTTGATGTGCATTTCCTGGCAGCTGAGCATTTCCTTCAGCAGTCTGTCTTCAGCATCTTCTCCCTCCCTCCCATTACCTGGCCTACTGGATGCAGGATGCTGCACCAGGACAAGGGGACTGTCACACATCTTTCCTTATAGGGTCATTGAAGGTTAGCAGAAGTACTGAGATTAGGGTCATATGCCATAAGTAACCAATAATAGCAGATCTTGTTGTTATGGATATTACTTTTATTATTATGTCAGTCATTATTTCCACCCTCACTGATGACCTTTTCTCTTGATAAATGACTTAGTGGTTTCCTCCTCTGTCCAAAGCCAGATTTTTCACCAGTGGCTCCAGCAAGCTTGCTGGTTTGTATTGCAAATCATCTTAATGGAATGAACTTCTTCCATCTGTACTCTGTGCCCTCAATGGCTTTGCTTCTCTAGGGTTGTTTGCATATCCTGGGATGTCAGGATTCAAAGGCAGCCCTACTTGAGTGGGTTTGAGAGGATGTGAGCAGAGGCACTTAGTTAAGGGACTTGGGGCACTTAAAGTCAGGAGACCAGCCCCTTCACCCTCTTTAATACTGAAGTATAGTTGTCTTCTGGCTCAGCTTGACATCCCTGAGGGTTCTGGAGGGGCTCCAGTCTCTATTTTGGCTGAGGAGCCTTGGGCTATAGCATCTGTGAGGGAGAAGCGCTGGCAGTGTCTGTCCTGGGTGAGGTGAGAGGAGCCACTGCATTTGAGCAAAGAGGAAGGTCTGACAAGGAGCAGGCCTATAGGGACAGTGGCCACAGCTGGCAGTGCAAGCCAGCAAAACAGAAGAGTCATATGAAGTTCTCTTAAGGTGCTGCTCATGCTACTGGTAAATTTGAGTTTTAGGCACCATCCTTTCCTCCACCCAAAATTCTTTCCCTTCAGGTTTTTTTGAACCAAACATGCAGGGCCCTGAGTGACATTTCCTCTGCTTGGCCTCCCCTGACCACCCACTCTGAAATGGCCAGCCCGTCATTCCATTGCTCCATTGATGGATGCATTGAATGGATGATAGATGAATGGCCACCTCTCTCTTTGGGGTCTTTATTTCTCATCATAGACTCTCCATATTGGCTTGGAAATCCTGGGGTTGGCTGCAAAAGGAAGATCAGGGTTGCTTTTGGGCATCAGCCCAAGTAGGGTGGGTCTATCCTCCCTCCATGGGGAGAAACAGCTTTCCTTTCTGGCAGATGGAGCTCTCGGGGTCACGACCAAGGGAGGAGTTTCAAAGCCCCTTCCATGGGAAGCTTCTCTTCCCATTGGGAACCCAAACTGCATGTGGAGTATGGCCAAGGCTGTGACACCCTGTCACTTCCCATGAGTATTCATGGCTTGGGGCTCTCTGGTTAATACTGAGAAGGCAAATCAGTGTTATCATGGGATGGGCTTTTGTGAGAAGAATTATGACTCAGTGGACAAGTGTGTCTGAGAGGAAGAGGAGCAAGTTTTGTGCTCTTAGTTCATCAAGTTCATGCCTAGACTCCTATCACCTACACTTACTTACCCACGCAATCTCAGGACTCTAGGTGTTGGAGGGGATCCATTTTAAGATGGGAAGGATTAATTGTCTGGATGACACCAAGATCTGATGGCAGGGCTGGATGAAGGAGCTGAGTGTGCAGTTTCCAACCCAGCCTCCAGTGGTCCTCTCCTGCTGACCCTTCCAATCTAACATCCAGGCCTCACCTAATGATCCAGCTTCAGCTTCTGCCTTTACCTGTTGGCGGGATGACCCCAATGCTTCCAGCTCCCTGGAGACTCCAGACAAGTGACAGTAGATTTTGCAGGTGATAAGGGTCTCAGCACAAACTGTAGTTTGGAAACAATCTTGTGTTTTCTAGGCACCCATCTGTGAAAGGAGAACAAGTATGAACAGGGTCTGTTTGCTTCTTAAGGAATGATTGCTGCCCAAGAGTAGAGATGTCTGACCTCTCATGTGTGTCTTTTCACTTCCAAGAGGAGAAGTCCCAGGACTTCTCAGCATGTCAAACCAGCTTTTAGAGGAGCTCTGCTTCTTGGGCCTTGGAACATTTTAGTATTTTCCTTCCTTGTTGGCGTGAAGTTGTGTGTTGCCAGCTGTGCTGTGTTTTATCCTGGAGCACGAGCCTAGCCAAAGATAGAGCTCTGCTTCTGGTCAGTCACAGAAGCACCGAATACCTCCATCATGGTGGGCAGGATGCTGTGTGGGACACTATGGTCTGGAGGACACCATGTGTCAATTCTGGATTGTCTCCAATGGGTGAGGAAGGCACCCCTGCTTACCACTTTTCTATTTTTTCGATTTCTCAGTGTACTAGTCTGTACAGTGGAGGAAGAGAAGAGGGATCAGAGACTCTTCATTCACAGTATGTGAAGGGCTCACAGGGCACTTCCCTGGGGATAAGAGCAGAAACAACACCTTAGACCTGCGGTGCATAAAGTTCAACTTTATCATCACTATTAGCCACAGGGACCCAAGTCTGTAGAATGTTTTTCCTGTATGTTCTTGGCTGAGAGTGACATTGATCCTAACTGAAAAGTAGTCTGCAATATTACTGCCCTCTTAGGACCCTTCACTGTCAACTTACTAACCCCCAAAACATGTAACTCCTGCATGCTTCAGTGCTTTTGCCCTTACTGTTCCCACTGCTAAAAGTGCTCTTCCATGTGTCTTTGATTATCAGACTCCTACTGGAGTGCTAAACTGAAGGCAAGCTGTTCCATCTCTTCTTTCCTTTCCATGAGGCCGAGTAATACCTTTCTAAGGATGGTATTTATCATGAACTTGATTTCAGCCATCCAGAAACATTCTTAGAGGGCCAAGGATTTGGCTCGTGCAAGGGCCTGAATTTGATCCGTGGTACAAAAACAAAACAAAACAAAACAAAAAAACAACCAAAACCAAAACATTCTTACACTTGGAGCTTCTCAGAGAGAAGGGCTTTCAAAGTCAGGCACAAGAGGCAACTTTTAAAGTCCTACACCTGGTGAGTCTGTGAAGTGGTATTAACCTGACGGACCCAGAGGTTTGTTCCAGAATGAGAGTGGATGGACATAGGCTGGGCAGGTCACGGAGGTTGCTGATATCTAAGCTGATAAAACCACTTTAGGAGAATGGTCTTTGGGCTAGACAAGCCCTTGCTTGGTTGGAATTAGGCCTTGAGGTTGATTGGAGTATGTTCCGAGGCTTTGTCTTCTTAAGCCATTTTCCTCTTCTGTACAAACATCATAAAAGAGCCTATCCTATATAGACTGCTGTGGAAATCACATGAGGTGGTATGGTAAAGCCCATAGTAGGTGCTCAGACATTGTGGCTGCAGTGAAGATCAGTCCAGCTGAGAACTTGAGGCTGTTTAGAGCAGAGTTCATAATTTTCATATCTTTGGATCTCTCAGTGGGCCTTGCACAGTGCTGTGCTTAGGCTACTTAATTTTGTAAGTAGTTGAATATAGATGATATCCTAAGAAGGATTTTGAGCCACAAAGAGGCAGGGTTAGAGTGGTAATTAAACAAGAAGCCCTTGGTTATAGTGTGTGTGTGACCTGAGGGGTGGATAGAGAGGACCTTGAACATGAGAAACCAAGATATTTTAAGCATGCATCTAAACTAACATAGACTATAGGCTTCTTCCTGTCCCTCCTGCTTGTACTAACAAAGCCAGAGGAGGAGGGTACTCAAGCAGAGAACTGGGTAGAAACACCTGGGAATGTGAGGCAAGTATATGTGAGGTGCATGTTTGTGTGTGAGATGTGGTGAGTGTGTGCCGATGTGAAGGGTACAGATACATGTGTGTAGATATGTGAGCTTGCATAGGCGTTTGATGCACCCAGCTGGCCAGTGGGCATAGCTCTTATAGTCTCATGGGGAAAAATTATGTTAATGAAATTGTTATTTGTGAGTGTAGGGATCAATCCAATGAGAACAGACTTCATTCATACAAGTACCTAATTCATACTTTAGGATATTTTATTATATTTTGTAGTTCAGGGTTTTGGAACTGAGCTATATTCCCAGCCCCTTTTTAATTTCAAATTTTCTGACAAGGTTTTGCTAAGTCACTAAATTTCGTAGGCTAAACTTGAAATTGTGATCTTCTTGCCTTATCCTCCCAGAAGATTGGGATTATAGTAGCTACCAAGAAAACTTTTTTGAAAGCTTTATTTTTTATTATCTTATTTATCCTAGTAGTAATAAATATAAAGATTTTTGTATACATGGTTCTTTAACATAACCACAATACTATCATGTAAAATTAACACTAATTTTTTAGCTTATCAAACATCTAGTCATTGTTGAGATATTATTGTGTATTTCATAAAATTTTTACTGTTGGTTTACTTAAATCCAATCTACATGTAATATTGAGTTGATTTGTCTCATGTTTTTGTTAGCTCATAGTTTCCTTACCTTTTTAATTTTTTCATATAATTTTTTTTTTGTTGAATAAACCAGGTCATGTGTCCTGTGGAGGTTCTCCAAATCTAGATGTTGCTGGTCATATCTTCTTGGTGTTAGGTGGCATGTTCCTCAGTCCCCTGTCAACTGAGAGTTAGACCTGAAGGCCTGCGCAGGTTTGGTTGGCTCAGTTTCCCCAAGGGCTTCTCACTGTCTGGATTGGTAGCCATCAGTAGCTTCAGTGGGGAATTCTGTGGCGAGGGGGTGCTGCACGGGAAGCACGGCAGAGCAGAGCTGTGAAAACTCAGCCAGGTATCTTCACCTCCTTAAACCTCATCTACAGAGTGGACCCAGTGTTGGTAAACTCCCTCAAAAAGGAATTGTGGCAATGGAAGGGAATAGTGAATATGAAATGTTTAGCACCGTGTCTGGCCAACAGGAAGAGAACAGTAGATGTTGTTGCTTCTGATAGCAGAGATGATGTGGAAGAGAGAGGAGCTTGAACTTTATCCTGACACCCATGGGAAGCTTTTGTGTAGGAGACAGATCTGACCAGGTGTGCATTTCAGAAGGTCTGGCCTGTCTTTGAGATGGCCAGTGGAAAGAGGGTGAGATAACACTTATGGGCTGGAGTAGGTGTTCGGGAGAGAGGGCTCTGGGCCTGCTTGGGGCTATGCAGTGAGCTTGGAGATGAATGGACTTATTGGGAGTATTCAGGAAGGAAACAGAAGAGGTGATACAATGAGAGAGGGGTTCACCTCCTGGCTGTGAGATGTATAAGCTTTGGCTTGAGTGGCTGCCGGGAGGATGGTGCCACCTACTGAGACTAGGAGAAGTCTTCAAACCTCTGGGATCTCATTCTGCATGCACCCCTGTACGCGTACATTTATGTATTTAGTGACTGTCTACATGTGCTACTGTACTAATATATTCTGTACATTTCAATATATGCAATAAAAATTGTTAAAAATCAGATAAAGATGAAATAAACAATATTTTAAATATCTTGCTGTGATTAAAATGGCTTCTTAATCTCATTAGCTAGTAAGCAAGGCAAAATACACACTCAGAAGCTCATCATTAACGATAGTGGATGCATATCCATATTTCAGATAGGCTTCTGGATGATTTGATACGTTTTGCCGATTTCCCATCAGACCTGATTAGAGACCTGACTCAGAGCTCTTTGTGTGTCTGATGAAGAGCTATTGCTAGGGACAGGGTGAATGTCAGCAGCCTCAGGCTCATGGGCTTTATTTATGCTTGTACTGTTTGAGTGGCTCAACATGTGGGTCTTTTCAGGGATCTTTGGAAGTTGCTTATTCCATTTTTGTAAGAGTTAGTTTGGCCTTCCCCACATAACAGAACCTGTGAGTGCTCTTTAGTAGGCACCTGAAAATTGCTGTATGACTTAGTGTGGTCCAAAATACAAAACAAAACAAAACAGAAAAAGCACAACATCACCACTGCCCTTTCCAAGAGCCATCTTCTCAGAAAGTCTTGGGGAAAGAGGTCCAGGGTCTTCTCAGTGCCCACTCAAGGCCATCCGCCTTCCTGTCAGCCCAGGTTGTATCCTGCATATTGTGGCAGGTTTCATTCTAGGGAGGTGGGGCCACTACAGAGGGATGGTCGTGGCTCCCTGCAGAGTTGGCAATCAGAAAATAAATGAACCAGGCAGAGTTGGAAGGAAAGCAATTCTGTGGGGTCATTTAAAATTGCTCAGTGTTTTAAAGCTCGTGATAGTTCTGTTGTTACTAATCCTGGGTCCTGGTGAGTTCCCAGGAGACTGATGGGTGTTGTTTTTATTCAGTGCTGAGCAGTCCGCTGAGACCCCACTGTAGCCAAATATGCCTGGGAAGGAAAAGGCCTGGCAGATTATGGACCTAACTGTTTGTTGCTGTTACAGTTTTGATTAATGGTGCAGAGGCAGTGCAGGCAGCTGCACCCAGGCCAGCACCGTTCTCTGGGGAGGACAGGCACCTGGGCATTTTCCAGGAGGTGTGTCCCCTGTGCAGGGGCCTGGCTCCTGCTGGGCTAGAGGAATTGAATGGACCACTTCATGCCTTTGGGTGCGTGGCAGTGGAAAGGACCCTAGCTCTGGGTTGGGGAAGAAAAGGCAGCACTCCCGACCAATTAGGAGCCCATCCTGTGCTGGGCTTTCCTCCCCCAAGGGAACCCTTCCTTCTGGGGCTGGATTCTGCCCTGTGATTATCACAACACATCTCCTGTTTGGTTTTACTCAGTTTAACTCCCACACTCATTTTGTGCATGAATGAGTACAATGAAACCAGTTTAATTTGCTGTTAATTCTCTGTTCAAAATATTCCTTTCTATTTAAGGGACATAGTCCCTTTCATCTCCCTGAGGCAGTGTGTGAAAGAAAGCAGCTGCTAGGGTGGCAGAGGGGGATCCTGTGGGCGGTGGCCAGCCCAGGCCAGTGCTGCTGTCACCAGTGGGATGTGGGTGCTGTGGCAGGTGAACCCCCCATTCCCAGTTGTGTGTATTTCCAGAAGCTTACTGGGAAGAGGGCCCACATTTGGCCTTCACACTTACTGAGCCAGGGGAAACGTTCATTTTTTGGAGAAACAGCTCCTCGCCTGGGTTGTAGTGGTGCGATTTGGCATGTATACTGACACCAGTCTGTTGTGGATCCCAAGTAGAGGAATGAGGAAGTAAATTCCATGACTGATCACAGAATCAGGGAAGACATGTGACAGTGATTTAGAAAACCCCAAATCTGGAAAGTGTTCAAAGCATCTAAATATAATGTTTATATTATTGCTCAAGTTTAGCTAGTGAAAGATTTCTGTTTTCACAGAAATGTTCTTGTTTGGGTCAGCTCTGCTTAGCCCTTTCTTTTCTCTGCTTTATCCAGGGGACTTTGGGTGCAAAGGTTTTGCACCCAGCTGGCTGAGTGCCTGGTCCTAGGGCCACATTTTGAGAGACAGATGATCTTTATGGGAGCAGAATCTGTGAAACCATAGCAATGAGGTGGATTGCACAGCATTTGTCTGCATGGAGCAGCCCCTCCAGAGACATGGAGGTAACAGCTGGGTGGAGAGGCTAAGCCTTCTGAAGGACCTGCCTCATCCTTCAACAGCTGCCCCTAGGCCCCATCCCCATTGCTGGGTCCCTTTCCAGAGGCTTTCCTCACTTGAAGGTGGAAGGGGGGAGTAGCCAGGGAGGGCATCATGCTTTTTCCTCCTTAGAGCTATCAGAAATGCTGGCTGAAGGAGCCCTAGGACCCTCCACAGTGCTGACACTTTCTCTAAGTTTGAACAGGTCACTGGCTTACCAAATTGATCATAGATTCTGCCCCCTGCTGCCACTGCCCACCTCTCCCTCAACACACCCTTTCCCAGGCACTTTCCACGGCAGCTATGACAATTTATCAAGCAGTTCTACACATGTTAGAGACTGCCTGCTAGGTAAAGATGCTTGAGTAGGTTAGTAGGTTGTTAAGAGCAGGTTGTAGAGATGTTGTTAGGTATTAGCCAGTTTGAGCACACAATCTATTTTCCCTTGAATACACATTTTCTTTCTACAGTTCCACAGATTATCCTTTGGGAAATGTTGCTCCAATCCTTCCTTCCTCTCATTTTCCCTCCCATATAAATCTTATCTAACTTGTAAGCCTACAATCCTTGTTTCGTAGGAAGCCTTCTCTGACCTCAGGCTTACCCATTCTGCTCTCCTCTGTAGGTTCCTGGTATTCTGTACAGTTAAAGGGATTGTTCAGGACGTGCATAAACCCCATGATCATGATCTTTTACAAATGTGACCCACTACTTCGAGATGATCCTCGAATTCTGCTGTCCCTCCCTGTCCTTCCTCACTCCACTACTCCAGTGCCTATCAACTCAGGAATTTCCAGCCAAAGCCAGGCAACTCCACAGACTTAAGTGCCAGTGTCTTGAACAGCTGACCACTACCCCTTATCCCATTGCTCCCAGAAACCTTCCACCAGTCAACTCTGGGAGCCCAGCAGCCCAGGCAGTGAGCATACTGTGCCTGGGTCTGAGGACACAGTGAGAGAGTAGCTGGATCACGCTCCTGTGATCATGGAACAACTGTGCTCTTCACAGCTATAATAGCTCCCTAGAACTGCTGTAAAAAATTACTACAGAGCCGAGCGTGGTGGTGTCTGACTGTAATCCCAGAACTCTGGGCGCTGAGGTAGGAGGATTGCTGTGAATTCGAGACTAGCCTGGGCTACATAGCAAGTTCTAGGGCAGTTTGAACTACATAGTGAGACTCTGTCTCAAAAAAAAAAAAAAATTGCTACCAATTTGGTGGTTTAAGACATCTCAACTGTAAGGTCTCACCATTGTAGAGACCAGAAGTACAAGGTGTAGTCAAATATTGTGTGTATTTAAATTTTAAAATAAACGGTTACAGTCAAAGACACATTGTCATTATCCCCCTCAGAATACCCCCCACTTTCTAAAACAGTTCTGAAAGTCCTCTTTTGTGAGTGTCTAGTTGTGCTTTCACAGCTGACTTGATGTCCTGAATTCACTTCAAACATATACCTTTCATAGATGTAATCCACTGTAATGTTTTTTAGGAGGCTGCCTTTCTGTTGAATGGTACTGGGTAGCAGCGTTTACCATAGCTTTGATTAAACTTCATAAAGATACTCACGAAAGAGGATTTAACAGAACTACTTCAGAAAGTGGCAAGAATGATAGGATAACTGTGTTCCAAGGGAGGAGGAATATTTTGTGGGCAGTGTATCTTCTACTATAATAATTTTTTAAATCATTTAGATAGTCACCATGTTTTTTATTTATCCCTTGACAAAATCAAGGAGTTTCCAGGGTTGGGTCTTTCTGGAGGTTCTGAAGGACAATCTATTCCATGCCCCCTGGCTTCTAGTCGTTGTTGGCAATTGGGATTTCATGGATAGTAGTCATCTAATTCCAGTCCCTGACTTTGACCTTACATGGCCTTTCCCTCTGTGTATCACGTCTCTCTTCCTTTCTGTTATAAAGATACCAGTCTTTGGGTTTAGGGTCCATACTAAATTCAAGATGGTCTTATCTCTGTATCCTTAATTGTATTTACAAAGGCTCTACTTCCAAGTAAAGTCACATTAACAAGCATGTGGAAGGAGGTCTTGGACATATCTTTTTAAGGGGTACAATTCGACTAATTTTATCAGCCTTTGCTCCCAGCGTGGTTGGGGTCCCAGCCTTCTTCACCCAGATGCTCCTGTCATCACCTCATGATCCCTGCACTCTTGGCTGTGACAAGAGAAAGAACTAGGCATGCTGAAGACTCACACTTGCATTTTACATCTCTTTGACTGTTTTCTGGCCTTGATGGGCCTGCTAGTGTCCATGGCAGGAGTTCAGGAGTTAGCTGCCCTTGTTGGCAACCAGGAATCTTGATGAGGCCATTTTCCCTCAACTGCCTGCTAAGCTATGCAAGCCAGTCAGAGCATTGCCATTTTCCTGTAATTCCTGGGTAGACCTTGGCCTGTTCTGATTGAGCATTTTGTGGTTGGCCTCCTTTCTGAAGCCCACTTTGCCCATCTGTCTGCTACACTGCCCTGCCACCTGGTTTTGTGCTTATTGCCTTTTCTCTCCCTCAGCTGATCTCCTTCATCGTGCCTTGGATTGGACTCTCCCATGAGCCAAGAGCTCATGCCCCTTCTGAGTGTTCACACGGTGACACATTTCTCTTGATGTGCCAAGTCTACAGATCCCCAGCGGACACGAACGCACTCATTATACATGTTCTTCTACAGAGTCATTAGTGGCAAATGAGACTTATGTTTGCCGTTTCTCTTGTTTTGCATTTTACCCTTTAGAAAGGACTTAAACCTCCTTTGAACCTGGTTGAAAACAGCCTAATGTGACAGCATTAGACTAAAATTAGGCCAGTCATCTTCCATGGGCCCACTGTGCTGAGGTGGCTGTGAATACGAAATTTACTTAATTTTGTTTTTGTTCATTGAGTATCCCAAGGGGTCCAACTGATATCTTTCTGATGTTCTGGAGATCATACAAGTATCTATAGAAGTTTGTAGGTGTGCTGATAGCTATAAGGTTATTTTATTATTACACATAAAAATAATGAAGTCATTCATCAAAAGTTACAAGAAAAATTTTAAATATTATCAAGTAGATTCTTTCAGTACATTTGTCTAGACCAGAGCCCTGGGCTGTCCCGTGTCCATGCTACAGTAGAAAGGCAGAGTAGAATAGTGACAGTAGATTCACACAACCCGAAATATAGTTTTATATCCACAAGTGTAAACCATCATAGAAGTTACCATAACAGCCAGTGGAACTGTAGTAAACTAAGTCCTCCTGGGCAGATGTGCTCCTGTGCTGGGCTGGGGGCTTCCTTTATACATGTTCTATTTCCCAACCAAGGTGGCACTGTCCCCCTTAGTCACCCTTAGGGGTTTAGCGAATGCAAGCCAATCCCCCATTCAATTGATGGCATTCTGTTCAGTTTGTGTAATGAGATCTCAATCAGTAGCGCCGATACCTATCTCTTAATGGTTCTCTCAAGATGTGATAATGTCTGTGAAAACATTTTGTGAATTCAGTGCTGGACAAAAGCTATTTATAAAAAGCATGTATCTTCATTTTAATCCAGCTGTTTAGGAATAATAGCTAACATCGATACATGATTATTATGGGCCAGGGACAGTGCTAAATATGACTCCCAAATGCCATTTTTAATTCATTTTCATCTTACCTTGGGGAGCAAGTATATTATAGCTGTGTTACTGATGAAAAACCCGGGGCTCAGAGAGGTTGTGAGTTGTCCGGTGCTGCCAACACAGCTGAGATTACGACTGGTGTCCTTGGCTTCCAACTCCAGGGCTGTCTTAGTGTACCTAAGCTGGCTGGGTAAGGGGTCTGCTAAAGGCGGCAGATGAACACTGTCCTCCACCAGTACATAAGACTTGGCATCATTTTTCTAAAAAGAGGGCAGGTGGACACAAGGTACTTGGTAAAGCATAAAGAAAACAGCTCAGTTGTCTTGGGCAATTCTGAGATTTAACACTGAGATTTGAGTGTTGTAGAGTGAAGCTCCATGTCAGTTTGCTGAGATGTTAACTTGACTCGTAGGCACCAAGGCACCTGCCGGGGAGGACACGGTCGCTTTACTGTTTGCTGCTCACCATCATTACCTTATAGTACATACTTGAGAATAACTCTCAAGCAGTGAGGGAAAGAGCCCTCCCCTCCAAGAAAGCCCGCCTATTCTGGTAATATAAATTACAAAAGGATACCCAGAACAGACATCTAACAAGAAAGAGTGAAACTTACTTGTGTTGTTCAATTAAAAATTTATAAAAGTCATGGGATGTGTACATAGGGGACATCACCAATCAGTCATACTTGGGAAGTAAGGAATCATTGTCTAGGCTTGTCCTTGCTCATCCCCTCTAGCCTGCTAGAATGTGACCTCTTCTCGCCTGGCCCCCAACACATTGCTGCCCTTAAAGCCAAGGTCTCTTGGTGCAGACATAGGGGCCAGCAACTTTCCAGACAGGTTTCCTTCTTTGAGTGTTGCTGTCCTGAGCTGGTGGCCAACCAAGGGTCTTTTTCTCTGCTCCTCTGATAATGCCTGTTCTGCAGACGCCTGTGGGCTGACTCTGCCTTGGCACAGCTGCTGCCCTCAGAGAACCTACAGTACAGCAAGCTGGGTATCTCACCTTGATCTCTGCAAGCCCTCTTTGCTCAGCTGCATGGGATAGGACTGTCTGTAAACACATTTAGAGGCTTCACTGTCAGCCAAGGAGATTTCTAATATTCCCAATAAATACATGGGACAGGGGATTGCCAAACCTCTATGACTCTGCAGCCCTGAGAACTCTGACTGAAAGAAGGGTTGTCACTTTCCACCGGCTGCCTTGGGCCTGGAGCCCAGCGCTGAACAATGTTGCGCAGAGGCCCCAAACCCCCGTGATATCCCACGCAGGCAGCCTGCAGGGCAGAGGATTTGTTCCCTGTGCCTGTCACTCTGAGCTGTCCAGAGGGCAATGGGGCTTTTGTGAGTTTTCAAGTGAACCCCCTGGCCCATTATCTGACCCAGCTCTCTACAGAGCACCCCCCGCACGGTGAGGACGGAGGTGGGGCTGGGAAAGGCCGGATGCATTCCTGGCCAGAGCTGAAAACACTATTCATCGCAGAAGCACCCATTAAACTGCAACAGGACAAAGAAGGAGAAAAGAGAGAGTGGGAAACCAGGAAGGAGGGGCTTGAAAGGGAGAAGAGAAGGGTGAGGAAGGGTGAGACTCAGAGCAAGGGTACCCACAGCAAGGGAGACAAATCTGATACGCAGACCTCCCAGTCCTGTGGATGTGTTCTGAGAAGCCACGATTCTCCTGGAGAAACAGTAGACTTTCAGTGGAATGACACTAACAGGGAGATGAAAAGAGCTTGTCTGCGCCACAGGGTTCCCCAGGCAGCCACTGGTCCTGGGATCCACCAGCGAAAGTAGGATATCCCCACCAGAGAGCTGAGAGGTACGTTTCAGGCATTCAACGAGGGCCAAAGAAAGAAAATCCCAAGAAGCCAACCTTTTGACAACTGAGATCAACAAGGACGGCATCTACCTGGGCAGTGAGCATCTCACGCAAGCAGAGAGCAAGTACCAGCTCGGGAGGGTGCTGTACTAGGGGCCCAGGATAGGGATGAAGGTGTGGGCCAGATGTTTGGGACTTTTTATACCCTGAGAAATTGTGAGAGCTGAAGCCTGGATTTGGGACCCAATGCCCTGACACATTTGGATAGGCAGAAGGGGGCATGAATGAGCAGATGAATTCTGATCATCCCATTATGTTCAAGCTGGAAGATACGGAATAAACCTCCAGATTCTGAAGGCACTGGGCTTAATTGGTTCTTCTCAGTGCAGAAGTTAATTCAGAGGTGTTATTCTTGTTGAAGCCTTTCCTGCTGGCTTTAGAGATAGAATGGAAGTCTTGAGTTTTCAGCCTTTCAAGGAAAACTTTATCCCTGAAGAATGAGAGATTAGTGGCTACATGCCTTCCACTTGAGTTTCCGGTATGGAAGAGGACAGGAGGAGATGATGTTCAGATTGTCCTCCCACTCACTGTTGGGAGACCAGGAGCTGTATTTCAGCCTCCACGTGGGCACAAGCCTCCGAGCTTAGTCCAGAAGAATAATCCTTGTTCCCACCAAGGGGACTGGGCAGAGAGGTCCTGCTCACACAGCTTGGTCAACTGACTCTCAGGCTATTTCTTCAGACAAACCAAAGTGCAGGGCCTTCCTTTTTCAAATTCCACTTCAGCTGCTTGTTAAGTGGGAAAAAGTCCATAAAGCACCTACTATATAGCTAAGAATACTGTCCTGAGACATGGCACATTTGGGTGATAATGTCAAAACCACAGAGAAGGTGACAGAATGCACCCCATGCACAGCTGGGGTGAGGTGCCAATGCAGGGTGAGGAAGAGGCAGGCTTCCTAGAGGGGCAGGGGAAGCAACTGCTGGGCCTTGAAGGCTGAAAGGTTGGGGTGGGCTGAAGTCAGGATATGAAGAGAACAGTTTTTGTCTGTTCTCTCTGGGGAGGCTGGGTGGGGAGGGTACAGGATATACCTGGTGGCTGAGGCTTGAAGTGGATAGAGGGCAGTGAGATGAGGCAGCAGCCCTGAAGCACTAAGGATGACAGACACTGGAAGATGTCAGCAGCCAGTGTCAGCCACCTGGTGGGATAAATGTCCTAAGTCACCTTGATCAGCCAGCTCCTACCCGTTCTTCCCTTTGAGCAGCTTGCCCCTTACCTGGCACATCCCCATCTCCCCACCCAAGGCTCCTGGCTCTCTGTGGTGTTGCTGCCAGCACATGCAGGGGCTTTAGGGAATGGCCCAGAGCCAATACCATCTGAGAGTTACCCTACCACAGATCAATCAGGACCAAGGGCCCAGGAGGGCCTGGCAGGGAGAGGCAGGAAGGCAGCAGCAATGTTCTTCTGATTAACGAGGCCAGGCCACCATCCATCGCGGACCTTCATTAGAGCTGCAGAGAGTCATTTTGCATAGGCCTGTGGGCTCTCCTCCCCACTCTTCTCCAGGCTGATTGATGCCCCCTGGGTGCCTGCATCCCCCATGAAGTGAGAGCCCTTCTCTCATTGCACCCACAAGGAGCAGGAGCAGCAGGCGGATTATGCATGGGTCTTACCCATGTGTTATCGGTATATATAAATGCATTGGTCTGTCAGACCGGCTGGGGCAAACAGATTTAATCTCCCTTAGAACTCATGGTGCTGGAAGACTGGTAAATGCCAGGCTCCTAAATTTTAATAGATCTTTGACTCTACACACACACACACACACACACACATGTGCACACACACGCACACACACACACACACACACACACAAACACACGCACACTAAGCATATAAGTAAAGTCCTGAGCAGCAGTGGCTCTGGCTAGTCCTGAACCATCAGCATACCAGGTATTGATCTAAGCAGTGTCCCTGGACCCCAGCATCTCTTGTGGTTCTTTTCCTCTCTCTGCCTTAAATACCTTCTCTGCTCCTGCTGCTGAATTGGGCAGAGAGGTAGAGGTATGCCACCTGACCGGAGCAAGCAGGTCAGGAAAAGATGAGACCTTGTCAGGAGCTTGACCTAAGGTCTGGTTCAATGCCTGCAGCACCTGATGCCTGGGAGTGTGTGGAGCTGCCCACAGCAGCTGTGTGGAGTGTGTGGTTCAGGCATGGCTGGGTACAGAGGGTACAGAGGTGACCTCCACAGCCTGCCTCCCCTGTGCCCACTGACATGCCATGGCCAGTCTGGCTTCTGCCTGCTGGTGTTTGGTGCTAGAAAGGTCTAGATATCCTTAGCCAAAGTTGTGAGACTCAGTTTTTTTCTGGGTCCTCTGGCTGAGGCATATTATCAAGTCTAGGAGGGTCACGTGAATTTAGGAGAGTGTTTGACCACCTTAAGGGATGAGGATTAAAGATATCAGAATGGGGAAGGAAGCAGAGAGAGAGAGGGAGGGAAAAAGGCCTGTGGCCATTTCGGGTATTTGTGCTCCAAATGGAAGGCTTTGTTTTTCTATTTTTCTTGTTCCTATGTTCAGCCTTACTACTCAGGGCTTCTTCTTTGTTGGAGAAGAGTTGTAAATCCTTGCATCTATAGGACTCTTCCTCCATCAGTGAACCACATAGAGATGGGAAGTTGTACTAAGGCTTGGGAGCCCTAGGTAGGGAGACCCAAGCCACCCTCTGTGGCAGGGAGCTTGAAGAATAAGGTGAGGCTGTGCCTTGAGGATGTGGGAGGTGTAATGAGGGATATGCAGAGTCCTCAGTGTCTGTTTTTCATGAAAACAGTCTCTTGAGAGTATGGACTTGCACTGAGCCCACCCCTCTACTCTGTCCCATATCAAGTGAAAACACTGTATTGAGGTTTGTTCCCTGTAAAGAATGATGATGCTGGGCCCAGTGCATAAGGAAGATTAGAGGCATACTGGGCCAGGGATTTGGCTCAGTGGTTCCGCTGCCTGCCTCACAAGCGCAAGGACCTGAGTTTGATCCTAGTACCTACCAAAGAAGAAGAAGAAGAAGAACAAGAAGAGGAAGAAGAAGAAGAAAATGGCATATTATCTGGGAGAACATCATGCTGGACTGCTTTGTTCTGAAGTACCATTCCTGACTTTGACCCCTTGGGGAAACTCAGAGGGATAACAGCATCTTTCTTATCCCCATCTCAAGAATTTGAGGAAAGACTTAAAGTTCTTGTCTTCCCCAACAAAGGAAACATTCTCTGTTGATAGATTAGACAGTAGCCAGGAGAGGAACCTACTCTCTAGCCCCATTGCCCCCAAATCACTGAGCAGCCAGCAGGAAAAGCAGGTGAAGGCTGCACCAGGCACCCATGTCTGTGGTTGGACAGGGTGTGAGGGGTTAAACTGTGACCAGATGACTGAGTGCAGCTTCTTAGTTACCTGAGAAGAGTTGGTTTGGAGCCAGGCTTGGTGGAGAGCATGCAGGTCGGAGAATGAGCTTGGTCTCTGGGGGTGGCATGGAAGACTGCTCCCCACGCAAGAACCTGGAACACGACAGTGGAAACATCACAATGACTGCCTTTGCAGATCAACTGCTGTTTGCCAGAGGCTTCAAGGAGTGCTTGGTGAATATTTCACTGATTCTCCTCCATTGCCTTGTGAAGTGGACATTATTATCCTCATTTTGTGGATAGCTGAACATGACCTTCAGGGTCTGAGTAATTTGCTCAAGGTGAAACAACTAGATAGTGGTAGATCTGAGACTCTCACTGAGGTCTATCTTTTCCAAGGCTATCGTGGTCTGAATGTGGCCAAACTGGTATGTGGTTGTCCCCTTGTGTGGACTACTGCAGGACTTGGAGGAAAGAAGGCTGCCAGAGATATGGTTGCTGATCATTTATTTAAGCTCCAGCTATCACTGGGGGCTTTGCAGAAACAGATGGCACAGTCAAAAGAGGTGACTGAGGGGAGAGATTAATTAAAGGACTGTTGACAAAGGTTTGCATCAGTTAAAGAATGGCATCAAAGATGACAAGGTTTCTGGGGACTAGCAACAATACCAAGCTTTTACCATTCTTCAGCTTGAAGGATGAGGGAAGGGAGCCACATTTCCAGAAGCAGGATATGGTTTCAGTTGTTGAAGGCTACCTCTCTCTGCAGCTTAGAAAGAGGAGCTGCTAGAGTACACCCTGCCTGTCACCCACATTATCCAAGCTTCTGCCAGTGAGGGCACCAGTGGATGCAGTCTTCAAAGATCTACCTTCCAAGACAGAGCTGGTGGCGAAAGGTGATGAGTACATAGGTCTGGAGAAACAAATGGAGACTGCCCCCTCTTGCTAGAAGGGTGGCTTTAAAGGAGCCATCCATTCTAAATGTAAAGAAGGCAACGTTGCTGTACTAGGGATACATACACTTCACTGTCCTTGTGTCTGTATTCTCAGGCTCCGAGTACAGCGCCCAAGTATTTGTTAGAAGAAAGCTAACGGCTACGTTTCTGAACATCCTAACTTGTTATAAGCTAATTTGTGTTCCCTCTCCCCAAAATGTATGTTGAAGTTCAAGCCCTCAGTACCTCACAGTGTGATCTTATTTGGAAATAGGGTTATTGCAGCTATTAAGCTAAAGTTATACTAGAGTAGTGTCTCTTTGCAATCCAGTGAGGCTAGTGGCCTTATAAAGTGGTCATGCCCTATAGACAGAGCCACATGGAGCAAACAGTGTGATGATGAAGGCAGATTGGAGTTATGCAGCTACAAACCAAGAAATACCAAAAGATGACGGGCAAACCATGAGACAGTATGAAAAACAAGGAAATAGTCTCCCCTACAGTTTTCTGAGGAAGTATGGCCCTCCTATCATCTTAATAAGAAATACCAAAAGATGACGGGCAAACCATGAGACGGTATGAAAAACAAGGAAATAGTCTCCCCTACAGTTTTCTGAGGAAGTATGGCCCTCCTATCATCTTAATTTTGAACTTTTATCCTTCAGAAGGTGAGACAATACATTTGTTGTTTTAGGCCAGCCAGATTATGGTACTTAGTTATAGCATATCTAAGAAACTGCTAGACCTCAGACCATCAATTCCATATTTTATTAGTGAAAACCTTGTGCAAAGTACAAGGTACAAATGTGACTGTTAAGTCATGATGATACTGAAGAAGCAAAGGGCTGGTGCTGTTTCCAAAGGCCTCCTTTAGTTTCTTGCTGTGGTTCAGATACCACGCTAAGATCTAGATGCCAGAAGAGATCCTCAAGACCACACGTCAAGCTCAGAGCCAGGCTGGGAAGGAAACAGCCCTTCCTGGGATGATTCTCAGCCCTTTTCAGTTCACCGAATAGACCTTTCCTGCATCTGTGCTCAGTCTGCTCCCTTGGGAGCCAGGCTTGGAAGAGCCTGTGGAAGGAAGGAAATCGGACTGGGCCTCTGGGCCTCCCACTTGTTCATGAGTGGTACGTCCTATGTACACCAAGGCTGGATCTGGAGCCTGTGCCAGCCCCTTGAGGCATACTTCTGTGCTGTGACCCATCTAAGGTCCCTTCTGTCTACTGTAATCAATTGTACCTTGGAACATAAAAGAAATAGAGGGAGAAGGGCGTGGTGGGAGGACTGTGTTGATCTGTATGTCCTTTAAAAGAGCAAATTTCACAGTTTGTATTTATCATTTAAATGCCTGTTCAGAATCATTTAGTCAGTCATTCAGCAGATGGGTTGGATTGGCTCATTCACTTTACTTAGCCTTGTTTCTCTTCCTCACTGGCCATTACCACCCATCAATCAATGGAGATGTATATAATAATAGCTTCCATTCACCTAGCACTCTACACTTGGCAAAGACAGTAAATATGTGTTAGTCAGGTGAGTATTCTTAAGAAAAGGTACAGAGGGCCGGGGATTTAGCTCAGCGGTTCGGTGGCCTGCCTTGCAAGTGCAAGGACCCGAGTTTGATCCACGGTACCAAAAAAAAAAAAAAAAACCCCGCAAAATAAAAAAAAACGTACAGAGTCTTTCTGGGTATAGCCTTGTTGGCTGAGGCAGATGCAAGAGAAAAAGCCTCTTCCAGATGAGGTCTTTGGCACTCAGACCAGACTTGATTATTCATCTGACGTAGAGCAGGGAGTTGAACCCATGTCTCCAGGGTTTATTGACCATTTATGTTATAGGAGGCATCTGACCAAGCTCTGTGGGGTGGAAATCACAGCTCTGCTTAGATTGTACAAAACCAATAACTAGCAGCAACCATTTGGAAAGTAAAAGCTGTTCAGAGGAAGGAAGACTTTATAGAGGTAGGACCAAGTGAGAGTTTTGAAATCCAAGATTTTGGTAGGTGGAAAAGAGGAGGAAATTCTATCAGGAGGAACAACATGAAAAAAAATGGAGAGCCGGTAGGAAAGATTTCCTCTGTGAAACTGAAGATCTGTGTGGAAGAGATGTCTGGAAGGGAAGGTCCTTGAAGGCTGATGTTTGTGGTATTTTCTTGAGTCATTGGAGGAATTTAGAGTGTCCTAAATTAAGGATGTGAGGTGTGATGGAAGTGGTGCTCCAGAAGATAGGTTACATTTTTATTTCTGAATTCAGGCCTTATAAAACAATGCAGTAATAATAAGGAATCACATCTGTAAGTGGGAGTGTCCCTTCCCAGCAGAGGTTGTGTCTTCCCTCCTAGTCTCTATCCTTGCTTTGCTGGGTTACTGAGTTGAAACCCCATCTCCAGTTGCCTCTGTCAGGCACACACAGCTCCTTCTTCTGCTCTAAGTTTTAGAGTATGTTTCATGTGCCCATCACCCTAACACCCCACTTGTGTGAATGAGCAATCCTGTACCTCTTCCCTCCAGGAGAGATAAGCTAGGTAATGTAACTTTTTCTAAATAATGAAATAATAAACATCTTCATGACGTAGGGATTTTTTTTCTTTATTATTTCCTTTGGACAAATTGAGAGTGAATTTACTAAGTGGTCAGAGGAACTAAGGTACCATAAGGCTTTTTCTTAGTGTGCCCGTACTACTTCCTTAAACACTGAACTATTTACATTGATAGCAGCAGATGAGGTTAGCAGCTGCAAAGAAAATCACTCCAATGGAGCTTCTGGGTGGAACATAATTAGGAAGTTGTCACTGTGGTCCCAACATGCAGGGATGAAGGGCTGCACTCAGATAGGTTGCTGGATGTAGAGAGGAGCACACAGCTAGAAAAGATCCTGTGAAGAAAGAAGCAGTTGTGTTTGGTGAATGCTTGATGAAAGACAAAGGGAAAGAAAGCAATCAAAACTAAATGTTTTTGAGGTGTTGCATTGGGTCTATAGGAAGGGTGACAAAGTTTGGATGGGGGTCAGCGTGAAGAGGAGGAGAAGAAGAAAAAAGGCGGAGGAAGAACAGGAGGGAAGGGAACTTGTGTTGGGAGAGGATTTAGGACGGGGGAGGACTCTAGGGAGTTAAGCTAGGGAAGGTTTCTCATGTTGGCCTTTTCAGCTATGCTAGACCCAGGTTTTGGTCATGTCAGAACATGGCCCTCAGCCTGGCTCTTGTGCTTCACAGATCTCAGTGAAACAACTCCATCCTGAAATCGAAAGGTGATGAAGTCTTTCCTTTCTGAGCCCAGGCAGACACCTCACAGCCAAGTCGGAGGGGCAGGGATAGGTCACAGGTAGCCCAGCCTATGCTGGCAGCAGGAAGCCTGGGGATGCCATGAATTTGGCTTAGAGACCTTTGGTGCTTGGGCCCTTTTGTTGGGGGCTGAGATCAAGGGATAGCAGTCTACCTGAGACCCAGATGGGAGCATCTGGGAGTTCTCTGCCAACAGGGATGTCTTGCCCAGGTCTGGGCAGCACAGAGACTCTGGCAAAAGGCAGAGGGCCTATGTTTGCCCTTTGCCTACTGTTAGCACTCAGAACACTTTGAATTGGGGACTAGGGTGGGAGTTCACTTAATGTATAGCCTATTCCTGCCAGTATGGACTTGGCCTTAGGGCAGGTGTGTGTGTGTGTGTGTGTGTGTGTGTGTGTGTGTGGATGGGTGGGGGCTATAGGCTGGTGGTGGTCCTTGTGCTTTCAACAGACAAGGAGTGGGGAAAGGAATGAGGAAGTGCCAGCTGCCTACTACCAGGATCCATACATCTGTCAATTGTCCCTGTGATTCTGCCTTCCTGCCATTCGCTGAGGATAAAATTGCAAATTTATTTTCATGTTTATTTCATTAATTTCTGTTTCCTACTTGTCTGCATGCTCCGTGAGGGCAGACATGCCTACCTTCTTGGTGTATCTGGAGCCTGCACAGTGCTATCTCCCATGGGCCCTACTCATGAAACCTTTGTTCACTGGATTCTAAAATCTCTTACTGCCAGTGTGCTTGTGGTTTGGGGGGGGGTGTGTGTGTGTGTGTGTGTGTGTGTGTGTGTGTGTGTGTGGATGGGTGGGGGCTATAGGCTGGTGGTGGTCCTTGTGCTTTCAACAGACAAGGAGTGGGGAAAGGAATGAGGAAGTGCCAGCTGCCTACTACCAGGATCCATACATCTGTCAATTGTCCC